ATTTTACACTCTGTAGGTCTAAATATTAATCAGACATTTATAATATTATTTTACTCTCTGTAGGTCTAAATATTAATCAGAGGACAAATCAGCTGTATTATTAGTTTGTGTTAAATTATAACATGATTCAACAGAGCTAAACTCTATATGTACTCCACAAGCTAATATCTGCTAACCAGTTCAATAAATAACAGTGATTACATGGACTTTATGATTATTTTAATTTCAAACTGTTACATTATGTTCTGCTCAGATCACATTGAGCTAAATAAGATCAAATCTGCTTACTTTGTCATGATTTGTGTCTGTGCTTATGATTTATTCTAAGTTTTCTGTCTTTTCCTCCTGTCTGCCTTTGCTCTAGCCCCGCCCACTCACACCTGATCCTCGTGTTTCTTCCTCAGGTGTTTCTTGTTTTAGCTCATTAGTTCTTCTTTATATTCTGTTCTTTGTCCTCAGTCTTTGTCAGATCCTTGTTCTCTGTTTACTGTTGTCTCATGCCAAGCCAAGAATCTTCTTTGCTGCCACGTCAGCGCTTTTGTTTTTGTTGCTTTTGTTGTTGTTGTTTTGGTTACGTCACACAGAAGAGGGTAACTTAATATGAATCCTTTTTAGGAACTAACGTTTGTTTCACGCGAGTTTAACTAAACAACAGTAGCAAGCTACCAACAAGTTAAGAAAAAGCTAGCATTAGCTTGCTGATCTCTGTCATCATGCCCTCTTGTCATACTGCTGGATGGTCCTGAAAACCCATCTTAAAGTTGCGTCGGGTTGTTTATAAACCACCAGTCAGGTAACGTCCAGTGAAAATGTTCACATTCATTAATGAAACAAGTATCAGAAGAAGCCTGGGGTACAACTCAGTCTTCTTAATATTGAACACAGCATATTTTAAATCCTCTGACTATCTGCCTTCAGCACATCTCACAACTGAGCTAGCTTCCTCTTTCATATATCAACCATTGTTTCACATGTTGAGCACTTTGTGCTTTGCTCGACGGCTCAAAACCTTAACAGACCATTGCACCTCAGTTCTTTCAGAAAGTGTTTCAGTCCTGATTTAAAATGTTTTATATAAAATATGTCTTATTGTAAGTTTCACATCTCCTGACCGGACATTCCTCTACAGCAGAGGTATTGAACCATGACCCACTGTCCTTCATGTTACAACTGTTTCCCTGTTTTAACACCTGGTTCAAATGATTCAATGACTCAGATTGTCATCAAGTTTAACAGAAACCTGTCAGTCACTCGTTCATTTCAGTCAGGTGTGTAAAAGCAGGGAAACATCTGAAACATGCAGGACAGTGGACTACGAGGAGCAGGTTTGAACAGGTCTACACAGTGACCCAGACAATGAATCTTTAGTCTTGTTTTCCTCAAAAATAAAGTGCTGCTTTTCTTCTTTCAGCTGTGTTGGGGTGGATGAAGATGACGCTCCTGATATTGACATCTATCACTGCCCCAACTGTGAGAAGACCCACGGCAAATCCACATGTAAGTTCTGTAGCTGCACAGCCGTCATAATACTGCCTAAGGCTCAGGGCAGATTGATCCTCTGTTCTGTGTTTGTTTTCAGCCTCTGACACCTGACATTAAGTCCTTTCATTATAAAAAAAAAGCTTCTTTTAAATCAACGGTTCCCAAAGTTTGGGCATCTGATTAGGATGTCTCCTGGATGCCTCCTTTTGGAGATGTTCCAGGCATGGCCCAGTGAGTGGAGTCCTCTGGTCTGTGAATGTCTTGGGGTCTTCTGTGAGGAGCTGGAGGGTCTGACTGGGGAAAGATGGTCCTGGGTTTCTCTCTGGGATCTGCTGACTCAGCGACCGAACCTCTGATAAATGGTAGAAGGTGGATGGGTGGTGGTTTCCAAATTTGGGATTGGGATCTAGTCACAAAGCTCAGAAAGGTCTCCAAAATTCTAATTGACTTTTAAAAAGATTTTTTAAAAAACAAATATAGTCTGTCCGTTTTCTTCCTCTTACCTGGGGTCGGGTCGTGGGGGCAGCAGCCTAAGCAGAGAGACCCAGACTTCCCTCTCTTCAGCCACTTGGACCAGCTCGTCTGGGGGAATCCCAAGGTGTTCCCAGCCGAGAAACATAGTCTCTCCAGCGTGTCCTGGGTCTTCCTCTGGGTCTCCTCTCAGTGGGACCTACCCAGAACACCTCACCAGGGAGGCGTCCAGGAGGCATCCTAACCAGATGAACCACCTCAACTGGCTCCTCTCGACGTGGAGGAGCAGCGGTTCTACTCTGAGTCCCTCCTGGATGACTGAGCTTCTCACCCTATCTCTAAGAGAGTCCAGACACCCTGCAGAGGAAACTCATTTCAGCTGCTTCTATCCACAATCTCGTTCTTTCAGTCACTACCCAAAGCTCATGACCATAGATGAGGGTAGGAACGTAGACCGACCGGTAAACCGAGAACTTCACCTTCTGGCTCAGCTCTCTCTTCACCACGACAGACCGGTACAGCGCCCGCATCACTGTAGATGCAGCACCAATCCACCTGTCAATCTCTCGCTCCATTCATTTGCTCCTCATTCATGAACAAGACCACGAGATACTTAAACTCCTACTCTTGGGGCAGAAACTGGTCCAGTGTTCCACAACCAGGACGAAAACCACACTGCTTTTCCTGAATCTGAGCCTCGACTATCTGATGGACCCTCCTCTCCAGGACCCCTGAATAGACCTTACCAGGGAGTCTTAGAAGTGTGATCCCCCTATAGTTGGAACACACTCTGCAGTCCCCCTTTTTAATTAGGGGGACCACCACCCCGGTCTGCCAATCCAGACAGAGGACCATATAACCTCAGCTGTTATTAAAATAAATTTAAACAATAGCTGTGAAGACATGAGGAACAGGATAATTTAGGGTGTTTTCACACATTTGGTCCACTTTAAACAGACCAGGGTTTTTTCCCCCCGTTGGTCCGGGCCTTTAATGCAGGGGGGAATACACTCATGGGAACAACCGGACCCAGACCCATTTTTGAGGTGGTCTTGGTCCACATCTAGACAAACTCTGGTGTGAATACAGACCGGCCTGGATCTGAAACAACTTGAGGAAACATGCCTTTTTGGACTTCATGAGCCACCTAAGCAACATGGTAACAGTTAGCCCTTCAGTGTTGCTAATGCTAACACTACGCAACAAACAATGAGCCATGGACAGACCTGGAGCCACAAGGAGACACAGTGCCTCCTCCATATTTGGACACATGCACACAACACATCTGCTAAAAAGACACAAGAAAGCACGAATGTTTACAGCAACACGCAGGACTTCTGAGCTCTGTCCTGCTCCTGTCATTTCTGTCCAATAGGAGCAATGATTGCCTTTTGTCTTCATTTACAAATTATAGTCCACTTGCAAAAAAGCACAATGTGAATGCAAACTGCACAGAGTCCAGTCCTGGTTCAAACCAAACAAGTGGACCACAGGACTTTCCTGGTGTAGATGCACCCTAAGACTCTTTAATTAATGATTTATTGCAAACGTTTGCTTCAGCAAGTAAGCAGCAGCTTTTATTTTGTAGGTGTAAAAATGAAAGCATTATAAAGTCAGCTTTATAACGATTATTTGTCATGTTTTTATTTTTATTCAGACTTCTGATGACTGTTTGTTGCCTTTTCAGTGAAAAAGAAAAAAAACTGGAGCAAATATGACACGGGACAAAGCACAGACATGAGAGCTGTTCAGAACGGCAGTCAGGTCTTCATCAAAGAGCTCCGCAGCAGAACTTTTCCAAGGTAAACACATCTTCATCATCTCATATAAAATCATCATCTACCTCACATAAACACTCCCTTTATTGGAGACGAGGAAACAAGCTTTATGTACGCAAGTAATTTAGACTAATAAGACTCAGACTTGCTCTTGTGAAAAATAAAGATAAGTTTACTAAATCTGAGCCTGAAGCCACTCTAATCATCAGTATACTTCACGTTTGTTAAGAATTAACTTAAAGCATGCAGACTTATTTTGTACTAAATATATTTTAGGTGTCATTAAATTATAGAAAATCATAATTTGAAGTTTAATAAGTGCACTATTATGTGCTAAAATGGAACAAATTTAAGTATACTTTGTACACTTTAAGTATAGAGCTTTCTCTGTACGAATAAAATGTTTAATTAGTATAATTTAAGTGTATTATTTTGTAAAGAAATTACATTTAAATTGTATTTTGAATGTCTTCCAAATTCAGAAGCATTATACTTTTGAAATATTAGTATTATAATGATAATATGCTCCGTTATAATTTTGGTTTATTA